GAAGTCGCACACATTGACAGAAAATAGCTTACCCATTGTACCAAGACGTCATATGACTGACGCTTTTGACCATACGTCAACATCCGACGTTTTAGGGTACCCTTTAACGTCAGTTAGATGACGCTATCTAATCCTAACCCTACCCCAGACCTAAACCTACCCGCGTCATCTAACTGACGCTAAAGGTAAAGCGTCAGTTAGATGACGCCCTAGGATCGTCATCTAACTGACGTTAAAGGGTACCCTAAAACGTCGGATGTTGACGTATGGTCAAAAGCGTCAGTCATTTGACGTCTTGGGATGAGACTGTGTTAGTACTGTTGTTCTATTGCACCGCATATGTAAAGCGAAACATAGCTTGACCACTTCCTGAGGTGCTATAAGTTCGAATTGCTTTTGTGTCATACTTTTTTTGGTTTTGCACGTCTAAAAGCCAGTGTAGTTAGTATCTGTCTTGACTTCCTACTTCCTGCTGGAGGGCTGTCTTTTTGAATGCAGCATGCTCCGTTTCATCTTCCCCCATTAATGTGCTCTTGATCTAGCTAAACAAAGGGCTTAACAGCCAGGACGATGCGGCTAATGCACTGCACGGGGTCAGTGTGACCATTACAGAGGGATGGTGACCACCAATGACTGAAAAGAGGAGGCTCATCTGAGAGACAGTTCAGTGTGGTAGGGGCTGGTTCCCCTCACATTAACGAGAATGTATTAGTTTTGTGGAAGGTAACGTTTGCTCATTAGCGTTGGCTGTAGGTGAAACACTAGGCCTGTCCTTGGAGTAATTAGGCAGACAAATGAATTATGCTAAGGCTTTTTCACACCTGCTCTGACTGCAAAGCAGTGTTTTCTTTTCAGTCCGCAACATTAAGTGCAGCAAAAGCCTGTCACAGGCCTAAATCAACACTGCCCATAGTCTCTCTTTTTTTTTTTACTTTTTTTTTTTTTACTTTTTTTTTTTTTTTTACATTTTAAAAAGAACTGCTTCATGTTTTAAAATGCCACCATTTCTTTCTGCAGTGGAAAAATCGCTCTCTGGTGATCCATATTGTTTGTTTGCATTTCAAGATCTCATGAAATTGCTTGACGAGCACACTTTTCTTTCTTATGCTGATGCTGATTTTTATTTTTAAAATCATAATCCAATAGGGAAAATAGAAGAAAATGAATTTACAGTAACATGTTAAAATAACAACAGTTAATGCATTATCATATTAGTTTATGTAGAAAATAACACTAAACATACATTTTGTAAAAGTATTCATTGTTCATGGTACCTAATGCATTAACTGATGTTATTAAATTGAACTATATTGTAAAATGTTACCAAGATTTAAAATGTGTATATCTGCTAAAAGTGTAGCTTCAAAACGTTTAGCCATAAAACGTGATTTTACGGGACTCTTTAAAAGTGAGAGTTGTACACACTCCTTGTGTGATGCAAATCCAACAGGCTCGTAACCTATTGTGTAATTCAGATGGGAACTGAAAGATTTAACTCTGTCCCGCTGGTCTGGTTTAAGTTGTAAGCTTCAGCTGTTATGCGCTCATCATATAAGGCTTGATAAAATTGGTGGGCTGCTCTGAGAGAGAGGATTACAGCGACTGTAGGAGGGAAGATGGAAGCACTATTTTGATAGGAGTCATGGTGCAGCCGCTTTGACATTTGGCCTGAATGATTTGAGGAAATAAATTTGGGCAGAAACGATATGGGGATTGAGATAAGGTTAGGATTTCTATTAGAACTTTGAATCAAACTTGATCATATGAGCAAAGTCACTGGCCTGAACACTTTATTAGCATTTGAAGTAGGAAAGGAAAAACACTCTCCTGTGGGTGGCACAAAATGACATCCGACAACAAAAAAGAAAGCTGACGACAAGATACGAATGCTCAAAATGCCAAAATTCCACCTCCAAATCTCCTCTGCCTTGCTCCTTGTCCAGTCAAACTTCTGTCTGATGTTCCTTCATTGGGTAGCGCTGGGTTATCTGACAGATACATCATAGAGCCGCGCAGAGGTGTGTGGACCGACTGCCTGCTGCTTCCCTTGTTGTTTTTAATGGGGTCTTCACAGCAGGCAGCCACAGAACCATTTGTGTTTCACCAGTCCCCTTTACTTCCCTTTATCCCACCCCCTCTCTCCCTCAAGAATCCTCTTTGGCATTCCCATTCTTTGCCTCTATCTTTACTTGGCACTTCAGTTCACGGTCTGGTTTTTCAGACAGGCATCTTTGAATTCTTCTTCAACAGTAGAATGTAATATCAAACTCATTCCTTTAAAGACACTACAAAATCTACATTTTGTGGCTTTTAGTCCATGTGTGTTAGCTTTGAGGCAAATCTGTATGTTAGCATTCTCATAAATGCTGACTAAATTAAATTTCAGTGGATGTATGTATTCTAAATTTGCAGAGTCTCTCATAAATATTGGCAACGTATGTTCCACTACACTAAGAACAAAAACGGATCATGTCTTGGCCGAAAATCAACTTTACTGAAGTTAAAATAGCTTTTCTTCAATTCTAAAAACACAATGCATATTTCAAAATATGGCTAAAACGCCTGCAAAAAAGTGTTATGGAAAATTAACACGGTAGCTACATTGGGCTGTATTTTTTACAGACTTGTCTTGGTGTACACAGAAATTTTTTGTCCAATCAAATGGTCTCGACAATGATAATGTCCCTCCCCTAATACTACCTGCAACTAAGACTTTTTTTTATTTTTTAGCTTTTAAAGAGATAAAGACCCCCGTGACGAGTGTAGTTTTCTTTTCTGTTAAAATGTTTCATAATTTGGCCAGCACATATCAACATATCATGTATTTATTTTAGGATTTATGTCTTAAAATAAAAATACAAAATGGATTTGCACATCCAAATACTAGAATTCGGCTCAGGCGCAGAAAAAAGATATATATATATTGAGAAAATAACATGTTAATGGCATATATATATATATATATATATATATATATATATATATATATATATATATGCCATTATATAGAATTGAGAAAATTAACGTTATTTTCTCAATTACTAACCCCAACACCTGTCTGAACTTTCCTTCTGTCCTTCTTTCTGTTCATCTGCTTTATTTGAACATGCTTCAGTAGAGGTCTGGAATGTTCTGGATGCTGGTGTGTGGAAAAGCTTCTCTGTTTATGGGGTGGAAAATGTTACTCATGAAGATGGTAACCTCACACCTCACTCAAACATCTAGAGATATTTCCTCGTTTACTCATTTTGTGTGGTCAGTACAGATTTTGAGAAGGAATTCTGCTGCCTTACCAACCAAGAAACAAACTTGCTGTGAATTTAGGAAAATTTAACCAATTCTAACTGAATGAATAGACATATAAAAAAGAAAAAAACTGGGCACCACAGGGTTGTGTGTTGTCACCACTCTTATATACTGTACCAATGAGCTACAAATTAATACATCGGGTCTGTTTAAGTATGCTTATGATATGGTTCTGGTGCAACTTTGTTCTAATAATCAAGTAATTAGTGAGCAAACCTATTTTAAAAATGTGGTTGTTCTTGAAGACTGGTGCAAACTGAGTGCCTTGCACATAAATTAAGGAAAACGTGTTTAAGGAAACTAAAATTATATGATCAGGTAGTTGAGATGGTGTAAAGTTTGATATATTTGGCAACTTAACTGGATACAAGGTTTAGTTTTTGTGAGAATGTACACAATATCAATTCAAAGGATGTTTCTTGTGGGTAAACTGAAGAGTTTCGATGTTAGTCAATCCGTTTTGGGAATGGAATACAAATGTCATGTTGAGAGTATTTTATTGTTTAATATTACAGCCTGGTATGGTAACTTAGGAGTGATGAATAAGAATAAGTTGCAGAGGATAATGGGAATGGCAGAAAAAAAAAGGATCCCAGCAAACACAGCATGATAAACTGTATTTCCTGGCAATACACAGAAGAGCAACAAGGGTTGTATCTGACTCCACACGTGCACTTTACTCAAAATTTGTAATGCTTCCATCTGGAAGAAGGTTTAATGTCCCAAAATATCTTAGACATATGTATAAACATTCCTTTATACAATTAGAATATTATATGAAGGGTAAGCAACTCCTTGTGAATATAACTTTCATATTGATATAATATGTATGTGCAATGCTTGTGATTTGTGTATGTGTATAATTTTGTTTTTTATGAGACGCCAAAGGAGAATTTACAATATTGGACAATAGTCAGATCAATCAATAAAGCAATCAAGCAATCAAAGTGCATTATAAATAAATTGTATTATTATTATAAGTTTGCAGTCTGTCCTTCAGAAATCATTCTGATATGCTGATGTGGTGCTTAGTTAACATTTTATTTTTATTATCAATGTTAAAAACAGTGCTGCTTAATATTTTTGTGGAATCAATGATAGAATGCTTAAAAGAACATTTATTTAAAGCTGCAGTCTGTAGTTTTCCCTCTTTGTCGCCATCTCTGTTCGAAATCTGCAATTGCAGTTATTCACAGAATTATCAACTTTACGTGGGTTGTGCCTCGGCACAGCACAGCGCGGATGAATCCAATGTTTTGAGGAGAATGTGCGGCTGTCAGTCACCGTGCCGGTGTGGATACTGTCATTCGGAATCACAGATTATTCTTTTTGGAAATATGGCCAACATAAGAATTTTCACCGGAAAATGTCATCTGAACAAGTAACATCCACTTTTGTTCTGACCAACTAAGGGAAAAAAAGCATTGCACAAAATCGTGCTGATTAAATCTAACAATCGCTTATCACGTCAAACTATACTTTGTTCTCAAATTGTTAATGTTAACAACATCCGCATTGCGTGATTACATTTAATGTGTATAAGGGCTACCTGTAGTTCAGTTTCCATTTCTGTGCTGTCTAATTTCGAATTGTCATACCAACAAATTAATGTTCCTTAGAACTAGTTCTCTTTGAAATACATACACACTTATCTGTAGTCAGATGCATATTTAAAACTGGAATCTAATTTTTACCTTTCAAAAGCCCTTCCGATATTTATCCTTGTTTTCGCATGGGCCCGGTTGCAGTCTCTTTTTTTTCTGTAGCCACTCCGAAGTCTGAAGTCTTTTGCATTTTATAACGGGTGAATATCCAGTTGTCACTGGTGATTGTCGTTTGAACCTTTCTGGATCCGCCATCAAATTGATAAGTTTAATTATATCAAGTGCTGTGAGAAAAGGCTATAAATCTCTACCTCCAACATCCTCACACGCAATATAGCCTACTAGCCGGGACATCTTCTTTATGTGTACAGATGTGACGTAATGACGTAAAGACATGCTCGAATTTCCTGCTGAAAATCCACCAGTACCACTGGAATTAAAAACATTATTACAAGCTTACCGCTTTGAATCGAGCTAAAGCAAGTAGATAGTTCTAAACACTGGCTGGTTATGTACTTGCTCAAAAATGTATTTTGGATCATTTTTAACCCAAAAAAGTTATGGACTGCAACTTTAAACAATATAATATAATGTTACATAATGTAATATAAACCAACACAGTCTCATCCCAAGAAGTCATATAACTGACGTCTTGGGACGTCTTTTGACCATACGTCAATATCCGCCTTTTTAGGGTACCCTTAAACGTCGGTTTATGACGATCCTGGGACGTCATACAACTGACGCTTTACCTTTAACGTCAGTTAAGTGACGGGGTAGGTTTAGGGGTAGGTTTAGGTCTGGGGTAGAGTTAGGATCCGATAACGTCATCTAACCGACGTTTAAGGGTACCCTAAAAAGGCGGATATTGACGTATGGTCAAAAGACGTCCCAAGACGTCAGTTATATGACGTCTTGGGATGAGACTGCGCTGTATAAACTGTCAATTTTGATCAATTTAATGTCTCATGCTGAATAAAAATATCCTTCCCCCAAATTCCAGTAGCACCTCATTGCAGTACACGAGATCCAGGGGGCGGAGTTGGATCCAGATCTAAGGGGTGGAGATGGGTAGGATTAGGGGTGGGGTTAGGGATCAGGGGGTGCAGATGGGTAGGAATTAGGGGTGGGGTTAGGGATCAGGGGGTGCAGATGGGTAGGAATTAGGGGTGGGGTTAGGGATCACGGGGTGGAGATGGGTAGGATTAGGGGTGGGGTTAGGGATCACGGGGTGGAGATGGGTAGGATTAGGGGTGGGGTTAGGGATCAGGGGGTGCAGATGGGTAGGAATTAGGGGTGGGGTTAGGGATCAAGGGGTGCAGATGGGTAGGAATTAGGGGTGGGGTTAGGGATCAGGGGGCGGAGATGGGTAGGTTTAGGTATATGTAAGGTGGGAGGAGTTGGATCTGGATCCAACTCCTCCCCCTGGATTTCGTGTTCTGCAGTGAGGACCATCTCCCAAATTCTGAATAATAGTGCCCTTAAAATTGTTTGGTTCATGAGAGGATAATAATATAATAATAAAAAACAGAAGAAATAATAATATAAGATTTGTTTTAGGGATCCATTCATATGAAGAACTGTTTTAAACTGGTTTAAATATAACCGAAATTTGCATATTTGCTAATATAGCAAGAAAAAGTTTAGAAACAGATCTGGGGCAAGCTAAAAAGAGTGCCCACATGAAGAAAAAAAAACACATTTTCATTGTTACAGTATTTTATATGTATTTTAATTGAGGGACCCTGAAAATCAATAATGTATGTAGTTACGTCCATGCAAATAAAGGTTGTTTCATGAGCTTTTAGTCATTGCACTTTTTTTTAACCTAAAAACAAGGTATTTTGTTTGAAGTAATTTTAAAACTGCAGATGTGCACATGAAAGTGATGAGAACGAGGAAAAAAAATATATAAAAGGCAAGCCCCAAGGTGTTCATAAGCTTTGGTGAAAACTTTGCAGAGTTCCTGTGCATATTGACGCTTGAGGGTATGCAGGCTTACCTGTCTAAAAAGAGCATTAGTGAATAATTTGAATGCATTTTTCATTTCACACGGTGTGCTGAACAAACAGGAATCTGTGATTAACAGTTTTAATTAGGATTTTAACGTGACGAATTCCGACAGCCTCGCAACATGCCTTAGCAGAATAAATCATGAGCCAGAGTTTGTCAAGCTGCCACTGCTAATGGCCGAGGACTCTCAAAGCGTGACAAGCTAAGACCTGTCAGGACATACCTGCCCCCCCTCCCTCCATCTCTTTCTCTCTCCTTTTCTCATTCACCCATATTTCACATTTATCTTTTATTCTCTTCGATTCCTCAAGTTTCTCTAGCTCTCCTCCCCACCTCCCTCTCCTTTTCTCCTTCATCCATCCTGCTGCTCAGCATACATATGTTGAGGCATATGGCTCGTTGTATTGGTTCCGCCTGCTCTCTCCAACGCTCACCATTCGCCGTCTCTGCCAAGGTGTGGCCAGTGCAGATAGCGGATGCGAGCGCTATAAATCTCAACACGGACACAAAGTAAGACAGAAAAGAACCGAACAAATGCAGCGAAATGAAACCAAAAAGATCGGAACGATTGATTCTCAAAGTGAGATTTACTCTTTTGTCAAGTCAAGTCACCTTTAAAGTATTTCTCTAGCGCTTTATACAATACAGATCGTTTCAAAGCAGATTCACATTAATACAAATAACCAATGATGCAAACATAATCAAATATGAGACAAATTCTGTAAAGCAGCTCTAAAAAAAAACCAATACTGTCATTGTCACGAGTCAGTTCAGCGTTGGTTCAGTTCAGTTCAATGACTGTGAAAAGTTCAGTAAAAATAAATTCAGTTTCAGCCGTGAAGCAACTCTACAGAAGACAGTAGTTATTCAGCTCGAGTCAAATGTTGATTCAATCCAGTTAAACAGCAGTGTCGATGTTGCAAAATTCGTCAACTAAAACAAATTTGATTCAGTTATGAAGCAACTCTATAGTTTTATCATTTTGTTAGCTCATTTTATGCATGTTCATTCATTAGATTGTTGGTTCTGAAGAGCATGGAGGAGTTTGCTTACAGGGGGGGGGAAAAAAGTGTTTTTGAGTGAGTCACAGGGTGTTTAAATAAATCAGATGCCCATTGTGTGTGGTCATGATTTGCACTGGTATTTTTGTGCTTTCAGCACAACACTCTGCCCTGACATGGCAGAGCGAGAACTATGAAGTGGTCAGGGTGGTTTTTCCCTCAAGAGAAATGGAGAAATAAAGGGATTTTATCTGGAATGCTTTCTTTCTGTCTGTCTGTCTTTTTTCTCCTGTTCCCCCTCTCTCTCTTGCCTTCTCTCCTCAAATAATGCTTTGGTGGCTTGCAGTGTTGACAAATATAAAAAGAAGGCCGCAGTGCCTCTTCAAGTTAGAATAAATAAGTTTGACATTTTGAATGGCTTGGGGAGAGTAAACAAGTTCTACAAAGGCTCAGGCTTTGGGACGGCGCTCTATTTGATGTTCCTGCCTTTCACGCGCGTTCCCAGCCCTCCGCCTGCCGTTGATTAATTTTAGCAAAGGCAGATCTAATGAAGTGTTGTTCTGATAGTTGTCATATTCGTTTCTCCTTGTCAGGAAATTTCAGCGATGGTAAAACAAGTCAGCCTTTACAAAGCAGTATGTTATCACAGGCTAAAGACTGCGCTGCTCACTTCTCCCAAACAGATGGGCTTGAATGCATGAGAAAGCTTACTGCAAAAGCACTTCTGTAGGTAAATGTATATCGTCTTCGGTTGTGGAGATATACGTCCCCGTTTGCCTGTACTTAGACAACATCTGGTTCGTGGGACTGGTAAATACGCTGCTTGCGTCCATTTCATCTGAGATCAAACTTAACAATGATATCATTGATATTGTAACTACAATTGGTCATTCATCGAGGTCCAGTAAGTTTTAGCATGCACTTTTGAGTGCCAATTGCTGCTGCCTTACTGGAAAAAAGTAGCCGGGTCATTAGTTGGAATCTGGGGATCAGTTTTCTGTTACACTAGAAGCGACCAAATTACCTTGCCATTTTGTCAGAAGGTACGATAATGTTGTGTGCTAATGAATATGTGGACCTCTGAAAACACACAATTTTTTTACTGAGGAGGATTTTTTTTTTTTCAGAACGTTAAAAGACATTTTTCTAGCTCATTTAATGAAGCTCCTCTCATTGCAAGAATAGGCTATTTAAATCCGCAAAATCTCAAGGACATTCCTCAACCACTTCAATGCAGAGATGTTTTCAGACTGCATCTTCAGAAACTGATTAAAACGTGTGTGTGTGTGTGTACCGGGTTGGTGTACGGAAGTAATGATCATGAGTTTCTGTGTTTAAAAAGACGTCATATGTTATGACTAGACTGGCTAACTGCATTTGTCTTTTTTCCTGAAGTTTATCTAATTAGTAAAATGAAGACAAAGCCTTGGACATTTTATCTTTCGACATTTACGTCTACATGATAGCAATGAAACATAATAATGAATCATACACACGTTTAATGCTTGCTTGAGATCTTTTGAGCAACGCCTTTTGTATGGATATCAATTAACAAAAACAAATTAAAAGGAAATTTATACACACAATAACTTGAATACTTCTTTTTAATTAAAATATTTTTTTTTAGAAAATAAAGGCAAAAATGTCAGGATGATTCAACTGTCTTGATATCACAATGAAGATAAAAGTCTCATAAAAAAGTGTATTGGATAAAAATAATATTTGTCAATAAAACTATCGTTTTTACATGGCATTTTTAGAGTCATTACACTGAAATTGTTCTTGAAAATGACAGAAAACTTTTCTAAGAGTCCAAAGAGTGCATTTCTAAGAATGTGGCATATGTGCTTTAAAGTAGATTTTAAAGGATTTTTCCTTTTCTTTATCGTGGGCATTCTTATTTGTCATTGACCATGGAGCTGCAATGAGGAGTTGTAGAAGAGTGCGCAATCATTTGTAATGAGTCCATTGAGAACGATCGCTCCTGGATTCCTCTGAACCAGGCTGAAGAACTGCTTTTCTTCTTCATGATTAGTTGAGTAAATGGGTTTATTAAGCTTGCAATTGTGCTGATATTTTGAGTTGAACATATCCACTCAATGTGAGGGCTTGCTCTCGAGTTTATGGAAATGACACAACATCTCAGGCCACTTTTCGCATTGACCTGTTGGTTTGAGAAGTGCTACCCCACCCACTTCTTTTTATCCTGTCATTCTAGTGCATGAATGCAAAAACATGCCATTTGCCTGTGTGAAGAGCAAAGGGCCCTTCACTATGTGAAATAAGGACGAGCTTGAACTATATTTCATCAAAAAATGGTAATTAA